AAAATAATTCTTCAATGAGAAAGTTTAGTGGATGGATAGGGAAGGCCATGGAAAATTTTGGTCTTGAAGATGATGAGTATGCATGCTCAATTTATATTGGAATTATATGAATTTAATCCTCTTTTATTAAGTCTTTTTATTGATAATAAGAACTCCTCAGAGACATGGACCGATAATGCAATTTGATGACGAACATCATCAACTCGTAGAGTCATTTACAATTTCGCTCGGTAATCAAGTGAAATCGACACATAACCTTCGTCTTTTGGCATCTGATATTGATGACATGCTTAAGTCTTCCAACGACGAGGCACGTGGTACAGCATATAGGGCACAAACTGCTGCTAATTTGTATTCGCAAGATTTGACGGCAATTGTTTTACTATTGACGCCCAAAGATTGGCCAAAATATAAATTTGGACAAAGTGCTAATAAAGGTACCACTAATGCAATTTGAGTTTCCTTAATTGTAATTAACACTTTATCAGACCAATGACAAATATGATATAATTTATATAAACAGAATTTTTTAAAAGATGTAAAGAATCTACAGAATTTCATTTTGACAATATTGAAACACAATTTGAGGCCATTGAAAACGATTTTCCAGCTGAGAGTAATGGTGTAATTCCTGTTAAAGAAGGTAAAAAGATTTGACTCTTTTTTTTTTTTATAGTTTATATTAAATTAAGTTGATATTTAAATTACTAATAATAATAATATAATCATAAATAAAAATAAAATTCATAAACTTAGGGGATTTTTTTATCACAAAACATTCTAACCTACCGTTAGTTCATGTGGCATTCCATTTGGTTATAGACTTTGAATGTAAGCTTAAATTTTATAATATTATTTTAATTTCATCTTCCCAAATCAATAGCTTAAATGACTTTTAAATTATTACTTCAATAAGCCATAACAAAATCAGAATTATCTGGCAACTCAAAAGCATTGACCGGTCTACGTAATATATTACGAACAGTAAGCCGCTTTGACATCACGTGCATTTCACTACCGCTCTTACTACTTCCATCAAATGTAGACTGTTTTTCAGATCCAACCATTCAAGAAAATATTTTGTGTCGAAGAGGTGAACTTGTGTTAAAATGTATAAAAGGATTTATGATGGAGAATTCGCGGATACCAAAGCGTAAAGCTGATAAAGAAGAAGAAACAAAAACTGTACAATTTTTATTGCCAAAAAATGCTAATGAACAACAATTTAATTCGCAAAGACAGTGGCTTATAGATACTTTTGGAGCGAATTAAGAGATCAGCTGAGTTAATGGTTATAATGTATTTGGAAAAGTTTCGTTGCTATGTAAATATTGTGGGTACAATTGTATACTCTTTATTAGTATGTTCTCAATTCTATTATATTTAGTCATTTGTTTCCCAAGGTAATTAGTTATTTATACAAAATAATTAACATTTTTTTTCAAAATTTTGGTATTAATGGTTAAAAATATCGGTGGAACTTTTATTTATTGTTGTTTATCATTGTAAAATTATTATTGCAATTATTGTTTATTATTAATAAAAAATCGCTCCGTTCATGTATTTTTTTTGTTATATACAAGTAATTGTGTGGAATTTTATTTTTTTTGATAATTAAAATATATATTTTTTTTAACATTTACAAAATTTGTTCATTAAATAAAAATGTGGAATTTTTATGTAAACGTAACCTAACCCCAAAATCTTAAATTTCAAATCCACTTGATGTTTATTCTGTTCTTACAACATCAATGAGAGTTCAATGAAGATAAGCCATATTTAGAACTGTAAATAGTTGACAATACTAATAACAAGTGCCAACAATGACATGATCCTTATTATGTATTACTTTGTGCTTTAACTTGCAAAGAAATAAAAATTCATCATGACGAGATTTAAATCTTAAATTTACTCATGACACAATTTGCACGAACAATTGTTAAAACAAGTATGAAATGAATGTATGTTGTTTTTCTGTTCTATAAAACAAAATGAAGAGAACATTACCTTACTCCTGTAATGTTCTGATAACTTTTATTTTTTCTGTCAATTTACTGTCAGTTAAATTGTTCTGTTCTTTTTCTTTTCATTTGCTATTTTCCTTCTGCTTTTCATCTGTTATTCGTCTTGAAGTTCATCCCTTCGGTAACAACATATTTTGGCTCTTTTATAGTCAAATTATCACTTGGTTTTACTTTTATATTTTCATTTGTCTTGAATTCACAAATTCATTCTAATACTTGAGAGAGATCTTTGATTTACATAAGACTATACTGTACATTAAAAGATTATATTGTAAAATTAAAAAATTTTTAAATCAACCTGTGGTTCTAACATGCAGTCCTAAAAAAAATTTATAAAGTTTTTTTGACTTGAAATATTAAGTAAAATTGAAAATTTTTAAAACTTTCAAAATAGATAAAGGCCAAGAAAAATTATCGAAACTATATCATACGGTGTTTTTTAAATATTTGAATATTATTTATTATTATTTTTTTTTTAAAAAAAAAACTTTTTTGTTCAAAAGATTCCTATTTCAGTATTTAAATAATCTCTGCAGATTTTGATAATAGACTTATGTTCATTCGTTTTTAAAAATGTTCCAAATCGACATTGACAATCGTGTTCAAGATCATAAGGGTTGATTTTTTATAATGAACTGAATCATTATAATTCTTCAATGTACTTTTTTTTACATATTGATATAGGAAACAAGCAAATTCTGAATTAGCAATTTAAATCGTTTAAAAGAACTTGCATCACTATCCAGTGATAGCTTATTACTGTATTATGAGTAGCGTCAAGTTTACCTCAAAATTTTAATTTCGAGGTACATCGAGAAGGCAAAAATTGCTTTCAGAATAGAGGTGAGTAGGTATAGTTATGGTGAACCCCTGATATAGTGAAATTAAGCTCAAAGCCAGTCTACATAAATTCTCTTGATATAGTAAATTCACTATAAACGAGTGTGTGAGTTATATAACACTATAAAAACTGCACTATTCTAATCCCAATAGGGGAAAGGTGTGGAAAGATTTGGAACGAGTAACTAAGGTTAATTAGAGCTCTAGATTACATCACGGGCTACATAATGTGAATTTTTACGTACATACGTAGAATGATTTTTTCTGCTAAGACATTAACATATTAGTTTACTATAATTTATTAGTTTATATCATATCAGCCTAATATCATTATACTGATAAGTTAGTGAGATTTGACTTCGACCTACGAGACCAGATTATTTCCAAATTAAATGTGAGCAATATTTTCATTTTGGTTGCAAGAGCCAAGCGCCTACACGTAACTATAATCCGTTGACTTAGTTAATTACCCCCTATGGTTTATATAGGAATATCTATCAATTTACCAGTTTAATGTAATTATTTTCATTCCAAAGTTCATTGCTGAATTCTTGATAAGCGGTTATAATAAACCGATTGATCGGTTAGACCCAGCACTATAGACATTGGAGAGGCAGGTGAAATTTCCGTAACTTGCCGTAACTATCGCCGTAACTTTAACTATACTGTAGTAAGTTACGGCATTTGATTATGTTGCGGCAATAGTCTAATAGAAATGGTGAAACCTGAGCTGTAAGTTAGTAAAGTCCGCTACATAGATCACATGAGGGTGCAATCTGTTTTGCATAGAGTAATATAGCTAAACGCAGATTAGCTCACAACTCGGGTTTCACCCTAAAACAATGTTACTTTTGCGTACCCATAATGCGCATTTATCTAGTCATTAAAGTTTAAGTACCGAATCTCTAACTGTGCCTGCTTTCTTAATGCACATAAAAGATAACGATAAGTGGTGCGAATTATTGCACAACGATATGAAATAATATAAATAAAACTTTTTATACGGTATGGATAATTTTCTGTTTAAAGCTATATAATGCGAAACTTTATCGTTATATTTAGTTATTAATTTCCATTTAAATTGGTATAATGGGTATTCTTTTCACGTCGTCGGCTGTTGTTTCTTTGCTATAAATAGGATAAAAATTTTTTTTACCGTTATAATTAACTACTTAACAAAATGTCATCATCATTTGAAAAACACGATGAAAAGACATCAAATGAAGTTGTCACTAACTCAACATCCGGCATCGTATCTGACAATACTATGGAAACTACCCAAATCGAGCAAATAAACATCGATGGTGTAGTTAATGCTAATATGTTACACGCACATCTAGCAATGCTAGCACAATTTAATAATCTAGAACAAAAAGATAGTGAAGTTGATCAACGATTTTTGTTACGTTCTGAGAAACGTTATTTATTGTGGTTAGAGTTATTGAATAACGGGTCTTTTAAAGATGCTGAAGAAGTTCCCATTCCGCCAATCGGTATGTCAAACTTGATTAGGGACAATCTTCATTTTTTTCATATCATTAACATCAAACTCTAATGCCGAAAAATTTCTCTAGACGTATGTCTAATTTGGCACGCACATTTACTTTCACCATTTCGATATTATGAAGATATGCGACGTTTGCATGATCCATTATCGAAAGAATATAATTTTCCGTTGGCTAAATTAGTTAGTATTTTGTAAAAAAAAAAAAAAAAAAAAATTTCTTCGCCGACTCTCTAAATAAAACTTAAACTATGTTGATTTCAATAGCATGAAACTTGGAGTCAAACTAAGGGAGATCATATCGATGAGCGATCAAAACAATTTTGGGAAGAGAATACTAAACAACCATGGGTTCTTGATCCAAATGATACTTCGAATTTTGAATTAGTCTGCCCATGGTGTTCTACGACATTAATGATGGCCGCGTAAGTTCGCTACGTTGCTATACATTTAATTTTAATCGTTAATTTCAACCTTGAATATTATTAGCAAAGAAATCTCATGTAAATTTTGTTTTAAAATATAGTAATGATTACGTAAAGCTAATTTGGACTCCAAAGCATTCTGTATCGTGTAATAAATGTAATTGTAAATTATCAGTCGAGACTCTTAGTGTTAAGAGATTCTTAAATGACATTGAAAATTACAATGATGGAAAGAAAGTTTATATTGCGTACGTATGTTTCTATACAATTTAAATAAATTTACTGCATAATAACATATATAAATATTTACAATTCATTAGAGGAACTCTAGTTAGTACTGTTGATGGCGAATATAGTGAGGTGTATGCTATTTCTGACTCAGATTATTTGTTCAATTTAAGTACTTGGAAGAAGCTTATAGATAAATCGAAAAAAAGTTCTGAAGATTGTAATTGGGCAAAGGTTTCTGAAGTCATAAAACTTAGAGTCAAAGAATTAAAGTCTCAACGTTTATTTATAAATGTGCGTAAAGGGACTATTCGAAATGTTATCAACTCTTATTCAGGCATTATATCGCCATTTTCAATAGAACTTGTAAGTGCTGTGATACGTCAGCGTGAATTTACTCATAAAATGGTTGATAATGCCTGGATAAATAATCAAACGGTTCAGGCTCAAGCAACTATTCGTTACCATAAGTTTCTACTTTTGCAAAAAGACACTGGTAAACTCTTGGTTCCAACCTTGGATATCGATCTATGCTGGCATACTCATATGCTTTTTGCTTCATTATACCGTAATTTCACCAAGAACCATATGAATCGAATTATTAACCACGATGATACATTGACAAAATCGACACTTGCTAATGGATTTGCTGAAACCTCTAGTGCTTGGTATAAAAAATTTAACGAACCATATACATGTGAGCACCCAAGCAAGTATTGGCTAACAACCAAGAAAAAGATTGCTGCTGTAATCTTACCACCTTATGCTATCTATCTTGCGTATAAGATGAATCAATATCAAAAAGGCACGGCTAAACAAAAGAATTCGCAAGATCTTTCACAAGAAGACAGTAAAAAGGCTGTAGATAAAGATGGGTAAATATTAGAGATGGGTTTCATGCGTGAGCATGATTCCGAATCCAAAAAGCGGGTGCCCATCAAAATTTTATATAGAAAAATTAAAATTAGAGATGGGCCATGCGAATGAATGTAATTTCTAGAGATGGGTCAATTCGATTTTATGCGTATACATTAGTGTACATTTATACGCATGATTCTGTTTCATGTTCGTGTATGATTCTGAAAAAATGCACACTTTATCTCATCTCTAGTAAATATATTTGTGCAATGCTAAGTGCGTTTTGACAAATTTTGTAAATATGTACTTAGATTGCTTTTCAAGTGACTAAACATAAGACTTGCACTTAGATTGATGTAATGCTTTATATTTTGTATGCTAAAAAATATTAACCTTTTTATTTTTATTAAATCCCAGGGCGAATAGCCACTACACAGGCATGTGTGGTATTAGTCCAGGCTTTGGCGTGTTTTATGGTGAGTATTCTATAGTATTCTCATATTTAAAACTAGAAGACTAATTAAATTATATATAAATAGCTAGCACATTGCCGATTTATAGTTGTGGCGGTGGATGCGGAACTGGTGTTGGTGGATGCGGAAGTGGTGGATGCGGAAGTGGGGGATGTGGAAGTGGTGGATGCGGAGGTGGTGGATGCGGAGGTGGTGGATGTGGTGGTGGGGGATGTGGTGGTGGTGGTTAAAGAAAACCTTAGTGGTTGTGGGGTACATGTTAATTATAAGGAATCTGAGTATTTCAAAACAACTATCGCTATATTTATATTTAATAAATAAATTACAACTATCGCCAGATTATATATATATATATATGCGAATCTAATCCAGAGAGGTGTAAAACCGAAACCCTCTTAAGACTTTATAATAATGCAAATCTATAAGTTGATCGCATTTTCCAAATTTATGAATATTGTTGTGGCGGGTACCTACGCGTAATAGAGTTTTTTCGATCCTTTCTAAACCCATCTTAGTGTATTAATAAAAAATGTCGTAGAGTGATTTACTTATATAAATGCCATAGGCCTACCTTCACCCTAATCTAAAGTTAATCGAGCAAATTGTTAAAAAATATGAGTTGCTCCCACTTTAGATGTCACACTTTTAATATCAATTAAGTCAGTTTCATCAGAAAACATCCGTTCTACTGGACACTAATTGCATAATAATCCATAGCCATCATTAAATAAATTTGAACCCGAACAGTATGATATATTTTAACTTATAAGATTTTAATTAGTCTTCACTATGTCGAGCTATACAAATGATCAAGCGACTAAAGTGACTAAGTGATTTTTGTCATTTTAAATAATTATCTTAGGACATGGTGAAACCCGAGTTGATTTTTATTATCAGTGTGGATACGAAAAGGGTGAAAGTCGCGTTTTTTTAGGTACGTACCTTTTTTGATGCAGATCTACAATTAATTAGGGTGAGGCGAGGCGGTGGTATGCATCAATAACGTAACCACTTCTGACGCGGGTTCACCCTGTCGTATTATATTTAACATGTGATTTTGTCACTTTGTCAATGCATGACGCAAAACATTCACTTGATACTTTTTTGATACATTATAGTAAAATTCAGTAAAAAATATAGAAATTTTAGTAGATGGATCAAAAAGTAGATGCAGAAGTATCAAAAGTGAATGTTTTGCATAAATGGTTAAGACCATCATGATATAAGGTCATATAACTAAGTGATCAAGGTCATAAAAAAATTGTGATCTAGTCATGTTGGAGGTGCAGACATATTGTCGCAATCAGTTACGACCTATTTTAAAACAGATTATTTTTATTGAGGTAATTAGGTTACGAC